TAATAATCTGCTTTGTGTTGATATTTGCTGCTTGTTGCTGACAATTACCTGAAAGAGAAGTTGGGGTGCTTCACTGGGCTGGAGAAAGTTTAGCTAAAGCAGAAATTAAGCATGTTTATCTATATATATAAAGCTGTTTATCTATATATATAAAGCTCTCGCTGGCACCAATCACACACATGTATTTCTATCTGTCATTGTCGATCATGAATTTGGTTGACACTTCTATTATAGAGAAAGGGTGAATAGCGATATTAAAATATTTCTTCTAATTAATTTCCTTTCAATGTGCATGAATCTGTGCACTGGGACACTAATAATTCATAAAAATTGGTAAGATTAAATTAAAGTTGATTTGTCAAAACAAATACTGCATTTTGTGGACAATTAAATAAACAAAATAATTTTAATTTTGGAAGACTTTTTATTTTACATCTCAAGTATGTATCTAGTTCCTAGAAAACTCTCATAGGCCCTATGTGCTTTGCCTATATAGAACCCAAAGAATAAACATCCCTAGAACTGATTATCTTCTGTTAGGGAAGCCTTTCACCTAAATAGAACCATTTTCACCAAAATGTGATTTTGCAATACTTGTTGTTTAAACCAGATTACTTAAAAAATAAGTATGTAGGAATCTTTAATTTTCAAGATATGGACCAGTTCCATGAACTACCTAATTCTTCATCACTATCAGAATTCTCTCCAGCAGATACTCAAAGACTTTTCTAATTTTTCTTCCTAGTGATTTCTTTTTTGTTATTATCACTTTCTTTTTCTTATTTATTTCTTTATTATTATTTTTTAATCTTTATTGTTTAAAGTATTAGAAATGTCCCCTTTTTTCCCCAATGACCCCTTCTAGCCCACCCCAGCCCCCGTCCCAAGCCTTCAGCACACTATTTGTCTGGGACCATGGGTTATGCATAGATGCATACAAGTTCTTTGGTTGATCTCTTCCCACCCATCCATCCACCCCTACCTTCCCTCTGAGATTCGTCTGATCCATGCTTCTCTGTCCCTGGATCTATTTTGTTCATCAGTTTATTTTGTTCATTAGATTCCACATATGAGTGAGATCATGTGATACTTGTCTTTCTCTGACTGGCTTATTTCGCTTAGCATAAT